AGAAAAGCATTGCAAAATTCCCTTTAAATTAGGAAAATTATAAGATTCAGGTAATTAGGCATATTTAACCAATAAAGTCCAAAATGTTTCAGTCAACTCATTCATGTTTACCGAGCAGGGTACACTGGGATTTAGAGGTGTGTGTGTGAATGTTTATGTGTGTGACATGTATGGTGCTTAAAGAAACTAAAGGATACTTAAAATAAATAATGAAGGTTGGGGATGTAGCTTAGTGGTAGTGTGCTTACCTAGTATGGACAAGGTCCTGGATTTGATTCCCAGCACTGCAAAATAGAAAAAGAAATAAAGAAAGAAAGAAAAAAAAAGAGATACTTATTTTCAAGAGTGTGTTTAGAGGAACTGAAGTCATGGTTGTTAAGAAAGTCAAGTTTCCAAGGCCAAAGAAGCTTTTCAAGGTCAAATCTCCAAATAAGTTTAAGCACTGCATAGTCTTTGTTTTTTGGGAGAACAAGAAAGTAGCTGTATAATAAGGACTCTGGAAGGTCCCAGAGTCAAGAAGTGTATCTTGCTTTATTTTATCTGGACTTCCCAATGTACTGGCCTTAAAAACCTTGTGGGAAACCTCAGGTTAAGACATTTATGGTACTGAAAATGAACTGTCAAGGAAATTACTGTTTCTTATTTGAATGCAGATCACAGAACTCCAATGCAGAAAAGTTACTTTTATTATTTTAGGGTTAGAAATGAAAATGAAGGAATTGCTTCCTTATGACAAAAAGAAGATGAATCAGATGTACTTGACTTGCACAGTAATTTTTTAACTTTTAGAATCCCTGTTTAAACTAGTAATTATGATGGTGTAGGCATCATATGTTGCATAGCACACCCATGAAATGATCGGTAAGAAGCACTACTTTAAATGAAAAAAATCCCCCCAAATTATTGGATGATGAAAATAAATTAATTTAATTCAGTACTTTAAAAATGAGAATTACTGTGATTGCCTAGAGCAGTATATATTCATTCCTATGTTCTTTCATGTGGAGAATTCCAGCAGAAAATTGCTGAAATATTAAGAAAACGTGGCACCCACTGTCCTTTCACCTATAAATTTAATCTTACAGCTTAAAATGGCAAATTTCTGGAGTGGCTGGTAGGCAGATGTTTTAAAGCTAATAAAACATGGGAATCGGGCTTTGGGCCAAGTGTTTTTGCCTCTGGGACCCACACACCTAACCTCCACCTGGAGCGGTAGCCAGTAAAAAACCAAATTTGATAGTAATAACAGCCTCCTTCCTCTTCTCTCCCTTCCCCCACACCCCAACCACCCAGCAAAAGTGTTGTAGGGTAAGATTCTAAAATGTCATCTTCAGTCTTCTGTGTTGGAGAACACTTGGCTAAGCTGGTCCTCTACATAGCAATTGTATTTGGGGGCATTTTACATTAGAATTTCAAAGTGTGCTGTTTTATTACATTGTTAAAATTGCTTTGGTCTTTTAGGTCCATCTGTGTACCACACAAATAGCCACAGAAGCAATTGTTATTTATCAAAAAAATAGCTGCTACTGGTGACCATGCACTTAATCTAGTTGATTCTGTGAAGCCAGGCTGAGATACTGCTCCAGAATCATAAGCGGTTCATAAAAATAGTTTGTATAATGGGTACTGATAGACATACTCAGATTTTCATAATGGTTATTGTAGCCTAGAATTGCAAATGTTTCATAGATTGCTTTTTGATATGAGAGATCTTATATTTGAGAATATAAATTGGGGTACCAAATAAATAAGAACACAATTTCTTTTCTGATTTATAAGATTTATATCCTTTTAATGTGCAGGATAGCCTAAACACCAATATTAAATCTTATAAAGTTAATCCTAGAAAATTAATCAATCACCACAGTCAGTAATAAAAATCATAAAATAAACTTTTAAACCTTATTTAATGTACGAAGATATTTCTGATTTGGAAATGAAGACGGGAAAATTAGTTTTCATAGCTGAGATGCCCCAAACACAGACTTTAGAGTAGCTTCTGAAGAAAGGGCGTGCTGTGTTCTGAGTCCTCCTAAAGAGAACTTGGTCTCCTTAGGGCTAAGTGCTTTTCTCTTGTGATTGGAAGGGCTGGTTGTTGAATGCAGAGCTGGGTTAGGTTTTACTGTTCTCCCTTCATGATAATAACCAAGGCATTGCTGAAACAGCAGTCCCAGAGAGTTTGAGAAGTGTGTTGGCTTACACTTGGACTTTGACAAATCTTCCAGGATGACTCCCGCGTGTGTTCTCATGCCAAGTTACTGCCCTTGTAAGGTGCAGCACAAAGTAGTCCTTAATAGGTTGTCCTCAAACGGGTTAGCTCTGCAGCCCAATCAGCCATCATGGGAGGCCATTCTGCACTTGCTGGAAGCCTCCCAGGGCTCCAAGGAAGGCTTCAGTGTCCTGGTGTCCTCTCCAGTGCCTGTTCCATCCTCTGGTTTATCCAGCTCCTTCCATGCTCAGTTCACTATCTTCCCTAACAATGTGACCAACACGGCTAAATGTTTTCTAGAGTAGCTCCCACCTTTCAGAGCAGCAAGGCAGTACTGAGGACCTCAGTGAGCTTGGCTAGCACACAGACCATGTCAACCTATTGGTTTGACAATAGGTTTATTGTAACTATTCAAAAACTGTGATTTAACTGGTTTTTAACTAGAATGAGCTCCCTTGGTTCCAGCTCCATTAAACATCAGCATACCCACTGCAATGATGATTTTTGTTTTCCTGTCAATAAAAGCTAGACTGTGTGCCTGTGGTGGGGCAAGGATGTCAGAACTGTTATTTCTGGAATTTTGCTGTTATCTTTGGTAATAATTCTGATTAGAAAGTTTGGGGGTTAGATATTTCTGCAGTGGGAGAAAAAAAACAATTGGTACAAAAAGAAATGGAGAATTTTATCGTGGGAATAAGTGGAACTAGGATAATTGCTGTTTGACCATCTGCTATGGTGCTACCAAACCTAGAATTCAGGTTTCATTTACCTGTCTCCGGCCTGGACATCATTTGCTAAGTATTCACTTACTTTGTCAATGTCTATACAAAGTTTTAAATTTGAGAGGATTTTCCTCAAGAAAAACCAAAAGTAGGTGTCATGAAAACCACTGACATTCACACTTGCATGAAGAACCAGCAAAAATATACAAACATTCTGAAATCAAATCCTCTGATGTTTTTGTTTTTACCAATTTAAAATATTAATTGTTTTGTATGTTTTCTTGTCTCTCAGATAATTTACTAAAAATAATTTAACCCTTTTTTTGAGGACTAAATGGCTAGCACAATGTAAATTATGTGTAGGAGGCATCTGCCATGTTGAAAATATTTTCCTTTTAAATGTGATCCTATACAAGGTTGTTTCAAGGGCCCCTGACTTTTGAAGGTCTCTTTGCACCTGTACTTAAGATCCCAGACTGTTTGTGAGGAGTGATTTTTCTTTCCACACCTTGCCGTGCTGCTTAGGGTAAGCGATTCAAACTACTGCTTTTTCATCTCGACTTTGTTTATGAAACCTCAGTGAGGCACGGGAGGAAGTGAGATGCTTGCTAAATCATTGGTCTCATTGCTATACCCAGATACCCTCTGTAGGTTGTGGCAGGTGGGGCTCTGGGGCCTCTAACAGTCAGCTGGGAGGGTCCTACCTATGTGTTTTGTGCAGCTATTTTTTCCAGAAGGAGTGGGGGTGGAGAAGAACTGGGGTTTGAACTCAGGGCCTCACTTACCAGGCAGGTGCTCTACTACTCGAGCCACTCCCCTAGCCCTTTGTGCAGGCATTTTTTTAAGGCATTTTGTTTTTTCCTTCTTCAGAACTCCTGACTCATGCTTCAAAGATGTATTTCCCACGGAGCATGGTGGTACACGCCTCTTATCTCAGCTACTTTGGATGTGGAGACAGGGGGATCTCGGTTCCAGGCCCACTCCAGGCAAAGTTAATGCAAGACCCGATCTGGAAAACAAACTAAAAGCGAAATGACTGGAGGCATGGCTCAAGTGGTGGAGTGCTGAAGGTCACAACACCCTGAGTTCAATCCCTAGTTAGCCCCCCCATAAGAGAAAGTGTTTTCTAGAACGTACACAAATTGTTTCATCTGTTTCTCAGGTTCCTCAGGGGTAAAGGGGGCATTAATACCTACCTCAGTGTTGTCATGGAGATTGAGTTAATATTTATAAAGTTCTTAGAGCAACAGTACTTAGTAAGGGTTAAACAATTTTTAAAAATGGTTGTCAGATCATTGGAGAAGTGGCTCTCTAAATATCCTAAGGAAAAAGGAAAGATGAGAAAGGATGCTTTTCTGGAAGACAGTGATTTACAGTTTTCTTTTCCAAGGTAGGAGTGGAACCATGTGAAGGAATGTGTATCCAAAGGAACAGAACTGAAAGGTGTCACCTAAAAATAGCAAATGTTGTCAGAAGCCTCAGTCTGACCAGATGCAATAATCTTTGGGGAGACATTCATGGCAACTCCTTTGAGGTCCTTCATGAGAGGTTTTTTTCAGAGACACAAGAGATAAAATGAAATACATGGAGATAGAAGGTGTTGGGGCAAAGCTTGTGCCAAGAGCTAACAGTTATCTTCCATATCTAATAAGGGCCAACACAGAATGGTTGAAGTGCTGTGTCTTTCAAAACACCTGTGTGACTTACATGTTTTTCTCTGCTTCTTCCTTGGAGAAGGACATTGGTCAAGTGCTTTGTTAAACAGAGCAGACCCCACCCTCATGTGGCATGTGTGAAAAGGAGCCCGGCTGGCCATGAAGCCTCCACCTCTTCTTGTTCTTCCCAGATGTTTCTTGGGAGCCTGGGGGACAGATGGTGTACCATGCCTGTGGCTTATGCTGTGATGATCTGCGCCAGGGCCGGCCCTGACATTCCTGGCACAGGGCTTGGCCTATGGCTGCTCTTTGCCCTGGCTCTCTTGGCCAGAGACAACTCAGTTGTAATTTGCTCCTGGGCTCAGAGGCACAGCCTTATCAAACTGCAGCGTGTGTTTATCTTGCAATCCACAGACAAGAAGAAGGGAGGCAAATTCCAGCCTTTTAAGAAGTTGTTTGGCAAAAGGAAAAAGAAAGATACTACATTGTCCCAGGCCGGATCGTCGGGGAAGAAGAGCCACTCTCCTTTGAGTGTCAACAATGGGAACTTCTCTTCGGATGAGGAGACCCTGGAGGACAATCTGAGGTAATAACTTAGACTTTCTTTTCCTATCTCTGGCAGAGGCTCAAGAGGGAGAATCTGATCCCTAAGGAGGCAGGTGCTGTTTTGGATTCCGGAGGCAGGAACAGCGTCACTGTCTCACCTAGGGCATGCTGGGCTGGTAGCACCTGGCGTGCTGCGTGTGGAGAAGTCACCTTGAGGACTTAGGAAACGAGTCTTTCCCCAGTGCACAGGAATTGGGTATTCATTTCCCTGCTCTCACTGCAGGCAGAAGGCTTGGCTTAGCAAGGTTCTGATGGAAGACCATCACTGAGCAAAGAAAGGGTGGCCACACTTGAGTGGAGGACACAGATTGATTGGGCACAGAGTGGTGACCCTTCAAACCCCTGGCCATCTTAGCAGCTTTGGGAATGTGTTCTTGATGGGGTTTTAACTTCTCCTTTTCAGTCTTGTTTCTCTCTCCCCTCCTTCCTGTCTTCCCTCCTTTCCTCCTCACTCACCCTTTTTCTCCCTCCTCCTTCCACCTGTAGAGCACAGGCACTGCCATTGACAGTGTCAGGGGAACTTTGTCACCTGAGTGCTGGAAATTGAGGTCCGAGTCAGAGGGCTACACTTTGATGCTGACAGCTTAGAAATCAGCCTCTTTGTGAGGCTTTCTAACTACCAGATCAGATTTACTTACCTTGCCTGTAGCTTTGTGTCCCTGGCTCCAGCCAAGAATTTGTCACTTTCTGTAGAAATTATTGATTTGTTTGCTCTCTCCCTCTACTGTCCATTCTATGAAGTTAAGGACCAGGTTTTATTCAGCTTTCTGAAAGATGTATGATGCCCAGCACTGCCTGAGTTACATGTTGGAGGAATGGGTGATATAACCCGTGTCTGTTCCAAGGTCAAAGACAAACACACTCCTGGTGCTGTGTGTCAGTCAGTACTACTCTGTTACTAAACCCTCAGACAAGCAGCTCACGTTAAGTCCTACAGCATCTGTTAGTTCAATCCAATATGGACTCTTGGCCTTGACAGGCCTGCATTGGTTTTCTGTCTTCTCTACCCTTTAGGGTAAGAAAATGATCAAATTTAATTTTATCCTTAAGAAAACTATAAGGAAAAGATGTGACTGAAATGGGAGCATAGCTAGTACTAAGTAACCCACTGCTGACTGCAGTGTCAGCACTGATAGGGAGGGGAGTAGTGTCCAGTGTGAATCAATTTTGATTTTACTTCAGTTGTAAAATAGGTTCGTACATCTTTTTTGCCTCACTATCAGAGGGAGGTACAGGTACTACTAAATGTGACCAAGAAGCAACTTAATGCAAAATGAGCTGGGGTCTGGAAAGCTAACCTGTGGAAAGCCAGTCCAAAGAAACACACGTCCTTTATGTAGTAGGGTATGGTTTTCCCTAGGCTCTGGTGCCTTACTGAATCGTCTTGGTCCCTAGAGGAACTGGGGACCCTTCCCATTTGAGCGCTATCTTCCATCTTAACTCTTGGAATTTTCCTTTTAAGTTTTGCATAACTTGGAAAACTCCACATTAGATCAAGAAGCTACATTTCTATAAAATGTAGGTAATGTTACTTATTCTCATTATTGACTCTTGTTTATAAATCTATTTTATAAGACATGTGTTATATTAAAAAAAAGCCATCTCATAAATAAGGAAGCCAGAATGACAAACTTTGGACTATAAATTTTTTAAATGTCTCTTTAAAATTTTTTTAAATTAAAATAAAATATAGGAAAATAGAAATAATTTAAAAATATGCATTCCCTTTCTCTTCTAGGAGATTGACAACTGTAAAGTAATCCTGCCCACAAAGTAAATATTATATGCATTGCTTGCAGTATAGCTGCACTTCTAATATCTGTCCTATTTACAAATGGAGCAGATTAAAAATGTTATTTCTAACAATACTTATTTTCAGTTTACTGTCCCCGTTAACAGACATGCTACTTTACACTGTCAGATGATTAAGAAAAAAATATTTTGCTATTACCATGATGGAAAGCTCTTACTGAAACCCAGAAGCCTATTTCCACAACTGTGGGTAGAGGCTTAAGGAGGCGGATTTCAGTCCAATGGGAAAGAAAATTTCCTAATTTCCACAGCTACTTACACATGGGAGTTTGGGACTGTGTCCTCCGGGGTTGGGGCCAGTGCTGGCAGGAGTTCTTCCCTGGGAGGGAATTTAAAGTTGCTGAACTTTTAACAGGTTGAGCTCCAAGAATCTGTAATTCTAGAAGTGTCTGTGTGGCCAGGAATAGTTCCTCATTGATCTGTCCTGTCTGCCTGAAATTTCAAGCGTTCTGTTCTTTCTCTAGACCAGAAGGCTTTATATCTCTTCAGCTGCCGCTTTTAAAGTATACATGCCTTGGGGAAAGTGAAGCACTAAAACACAGTCAGTTTTTAACAATTTAATGCAACTTCTTTGTTAATTAAACACAACTAATATGAAGTCTTCAAAAGTATTGAAATAGATCATGTTACAGGTAAAAAGGCAGAAGGGTCATCATGGTAAACAGGTTTGGGAAATCCTGGGGGAAAATATTAGATAGGATTCTTTACATGGATTTTTTTTTTTTTTGGCAGTACTGGGGCTTGAACTCAAGGCCTCACGCTTGTTAAGCTGGCTCTCTACCACTTGAGCCACACCTCCAGCCCTTTGCATGGAACTTTACAGGGCTTTTACTATGCACATACACCCTGTGGATCCCCAAGAAGAAGGGTGTGGTATGGAGCATTTCCAAGACTCCTTTGACCACAAACCGCTTTGTCATAGAGAATATCCAGGGCGTGTATTAAAGCTACCACTCACTGAACATAATATGATGTGTTTTACATAGGTGAACTCATGTAGTATTTTCTATGAGCCTCTAAGATTGACATTATTATCCCCAGTTCAAAGATGAGAAACTAAGGCCAGAGTGACTTACCCAAGATCATATAGCTGATAAGTGTCTGAGTTACTGCTTAAACGTAAACAGTGCATTCTTAACTGTCCACTACTCTGCCTTTCAAGGAAGCTGCAGCATTCCAGGGAACTAGTCACAGGGCCCTGCATTGTCCTCCTGATCCCGGGTCATGAGACTCAGGTGTCTCCCTGCCTCTTGCTGCCTGACTGAGGCTCTGCTACTTACTGGGATGCTACTTACTCTGTTTCTCGTTTCTTCTGAGCACCAGTACCTTAGGAATGCTACAACCCAAAAGACACAAAAACTAGTGTCAGTAAAGATACAGAAAGATTGGAACCCTAATATGTTGCTGGTGGGAATGTAAAACGTTAAAGATTTAGAGTAATTTTTAGTCTTTATCCAGTACCTCACTTTATAAATGAGGAAACTGAATCTTAAAGAAATCCCAGAACTCTTAGTGTTAGAGAAGTGACTAGAATCCCAGTCTGCTGGTTTTGCACATAGTAATCCTTTTATCTGGAGCAACCCTATCTGCCATGTCTACCTCTTTCCCCCATAATTCCTCTACATTCTTTCTCCAGTGTTCTGCACAAAGGTGCCTTCCTTAGGGGAACAGACTTTCTCTGGCTCCCTCAGCCTAGATCAAGCCCCTCTCCCTGATATTGTTTGCACAACTTCTTTCCTTTTCATTAGGGTGAGTCTTATGGCCTAACGTTGTCCAGCCCTTCACTCTTTGTCTGGCATGTAGTAGGCATTCGGTAACTATTGAATGAATGAATGACTGTTGTACTTTTTACTACACTGATACTTCCACCATCCTCCAGGTCTCCAGCATGATAAAGAGTATCACCATCCTGCAGACCCTCTGGAAAAGGAGAGTTGACAGTTGGCATTGTAAGACAACGTGTCACAAATGAAATTACAATGAAACCCGGGCTCCCTGGGTACAGGGTATGCCATAGGTCCCTTGGCTTTGACTTGGGAGGATGAAGTCAGAAAAGACTAATTTGACTCCATCATGTATCATCTATCCATAGGAGCCTGGGAGGTGCTGAACTGAACAGGGAATAGAAAAATTCAGAACCTATTAAATGGATGGAAATTAAGGACTCAGCAGAAGAAGCAGTAGAACTGAACTGAATAGGTCTAGGGGAAAAGAAGGCTGGTAAATCAGTAGTAGCATCAGTTCTGAGAGGTACAGTACATGGGGAATGCAGCAGACCAGGAGCTGGGGTCCTCTTGTGATGCCATTTGTGAGCTGAGTGACCTTAACCAAGCCAGCCCCATCATCTGTTAAATGGACATGCCCTCTCCCAGGATTATCATAAGGACAAAAAATGCCTGTGATACTGTGCTGTCTGCTGTACAGCACTGTAAGTGCAAGGTAATATGACTGATATAAAGGAGTTGGTGAGTGGTATTCTATTTTCATAACCCCAAACCAAGAGGAAATTGATTCAAATGATAGCAGAGAAGTTCATGAGGAGGTCTTTCTCCACATGGGGCTTCGGAGGAGTAGAAAAGGGAGTGTGGAGGCCTGCGGAGTCCCCACAGAGCTGGAGAGGCTGTCTGTGATTGCTCGTCCTGGGGTGGAGACACAGGAGTGAGCACAGGAACCAGAGTGTCTGACCCTCTGGCTTGTGTATTTTAAGATTCCAGACTTTCTTCCTCTTCCTTGAACTTCATGCCATACCCTGTTTCTGCTCATTGGCGGGTAGCGTGGTACTCTATGTCCTATTGACTGCCATATGTTTTTATAGGATACCAGAGTTCTCTAGTAGCCTCTGGGAGCCACACGACAGAGAATCTGGTTCCAGTGTCATCCAGCAACTCTAGTTTGTTTGATGAGGATATTTAATTGCTCATTAGCATTTCATTTGAATGAGACTCACAGATCTGTTTAGAAAGAAAACTGCTGATCAATTGCAATTGCCCCGTTGTCATGGAAACAAGCTGAAATGGGACTGTAATTATATTTCCTTATTTCTGAAGTGAATCCCTAATCATTGCTTTACTAATTACCCAATATCTATGGTCCCAAATTATATGATGCTTGTCCAAAAAAAGACAAAGGACAAGGAGTAGGAGGGCTGGCCAGAGGCACACGTTCTCT